TATATATATATATATATACACACACACACACATATATATATGTGGTTTCCCCCACAAGTTCAAAGACATGTGGTACAGGTGTTTTCCAGTGATGGGTTGCAGCTGGACGGGCATCTGTTGCGTAAAACACATGCGCTATAGGAGAACCAGATGTACTAATTTGGCCATAGTGTAGGAGTGTGTGTGTGTGAATGTGAGAGTGTATGGGTGTTTCCCAGTACTGGTTTGCGTCTAGAAGGGCATCTACATATGCTGGAATAGTTGCCGATTCATTCCACTGTGGCGACCTCTGATAGTTCAGAGACTAAGCTGAAGAAAAATGAATGAACGAGTAATTACATTGAAAACTGTAAAGAAAAATTTGTTGTGATGCTTGAAAACCTTTTCATCTATCACCAAAATATATGACATGTGGTTATTTTGAGATCAGTTACAGTCAATTTAGCAAGTTACAAAAGACACGCACACCCAATATTTAATCCTATGTGCGATAAAAAGCAGACTGGACTCTGGGGAACTGTGTTGTTGTTGTGTGCCAGTGCTGGCCTACATTACCACATGTATACTGCGGTACAGTGTTTGACCCTCAGGCAGCTAATATTCACACATTGATTAGCTTGAACTTTCCACCCGCTCTGACGAAAACTGTGTTGAGTCGTTGCTCATTTGAATCATTTTCATTTCATTTACACACGCCTGACCTTTTATTTGCAGTTCCTGTGATTTTTTTTCTTTTTCAATTTTTTTCCCAAATGATGTTTAACAGAGCAAGGAATTGTTTACAGTATTTCCTCTAATATTCTTTCTTCTGGAGAAAGTCTTATTTGTTTTATTTCGGCTAGAATAAAAGCAGTTTTTATTGTTCTTTGAAGTGAAGTTTCCCAAACTAATTTCGAGAGGAGCACGTGATAGAATTGACTACAGCTGATCCGTATCACTAATCACTAACTAGCCAATCGGATCACTCTAAATTTAATATAAATATCCAGCCTAAACTCCATTCCTCATCTTCGTTTTTGGAAAACCCCCCCATCCTTCCCTTCTCCCTCCTCCTCAGTTCGGGCGTCACGGCGGCTCAGTGGCTAGCACTGTTGCCTCACAGCAAGGAGGTCATTGGTTCAACACTAGCTGAGCCAACCGATACTCTCTGTGCGGAGTTTGCATGTTTTCCCCGTGTTCGCGTGGGTTTTCTCCGGGTACTCCGGTTTCCTCCCACACCCAAAAAACCATGCAAAGTTAAAGTCACAAGCACATACTACAAATTAGCGCCAATAGTGATTTATTTTGGGAGCTATCGAGAACTACCTGATCTCATATCCCTCCTAATGCTTATTGACCAGGCGGGAGCCTTGGGCTCATCTATCACCGAGCTCAGGGTTCTCTCCCGGGACAGCATGCCAAACTAGCTTAAATAGTCAAGCACTATCTAAGTGTGAACTCTTGAAAACCATTTTAAGTTCATAACGAACATTGTTTCATTTGCAAAATAGAAAATATTCTGGAAGAAAATGTCATTGTTGTTTACAACTCTTCATTGAAAAAAAAATAGTGAAATATTATTTTATAAGCTCGTTTTAGACTATTTGTGATTATACAGTTGAAGTCAGAATTATAACCCCTACCCCCCCCCCCCCCTGTTTATTTTTCCCCAATTTCTGTTTAACGGAGAGCATATTTTTTTCCAACATATTTCTAAATATAATAGCTTTAATAACTCATCTCTAATAACTGATTTATTTTATCTTTTTCTTGATAACAGTAAATAATATTTGACTAGATATTTTTTCAAGACACTTCTATACAGCTTAAAGTGACATTTAAAGGCTTAACTAGGTTAACTAGGTATAGGCAGGTTAGGGTAATTAGGCAAGTTATTGTATAACGATGGTTTGTTCTGTAGACTATTGAAAAAAATAGCTTAAAGGGGCTAATAATTTTGCCAATTTAAAAAGAAAACATTTTAAGGTCAATATTATTAGCCTCCTTAAGCTATATTTTTTTGATTGGCTACAGAACAAACCACTGTTATACAATGACTTGCCTAATTACACTAACTTTAACCTAAATGTCACTTAAAGCTGAATAGTAGTGTCTTGAAAAATATCTAGAAAGATTTTAGCCTCTTTCACACATATAAACCTTTCCGTAAAATTACCGGCAATTTTCCGGAAAGTTCTGTATTCACACATAGGCCCTTTTTGAAAATACCGATAATTCCGTTCCGGCTATTTTCCGGAAAGAGAAGTTGTAACATTACCGGTAATTTGCTGGAATACTGCACTGTGTGAACGCAGAAGGAAGATTGCCGGAAAGAGCGCGTGCACGTCTAGAACGTGCTGATGTGAGACGTCTGCAATCAGAACAGTCAGACGCGTTCACGTCCGCGCGGTTTATGAAAATAAAAGCCTTTAAATATTTTTCCAGACACATTTAACTGCTAGACGTTAGTCAGATAACGTGTTGCACATTGAAGACCGGACTTTGAGTTCTTTAACGACGCTGTCTGGGTCACACAACCGAAGCTACGAAGGAAACGCAGCTGGAAAAGAGGAAAGAGAGCCGGCGTCCTCGTTAGACTGAGACTATTTCGACCTCCGCTTCCCACCATTCTGCTGGATAACGTTCAGTCACTGGACAACAAACTTTGCAAGCTACGGGCGCGCATTTCCTTCCAACCGGAAACAATAAACTTTTTTGGAGCCGGCACCTAAGCTTTTCACTCATCATAGCACACGTGCTGCTGCTGATGTGACAATAAAAGTGATTTTATTTGATTTGTTCATCTTAATGCCAACTATGTAAATAATTATCGATAAGATGCTTATGATAAGCCGTTGTTTGTTTACCTTCAAGCTCTGCTTCCTTCAGTTGCTTGACGCATCGCATGCGCCCGTGAAGCAGCCCATGAGCGCCAGCACACACACATATCATGTACATCTCGACATGCGAAAGTGTTCGTCTATAATTACATCGAAGTTGTTCCCAATACTGATCCATCAACTGAGTTTGTAACGTAGTCAAATGTTTACAAATACAAAGCCTGCCATTTAGAGGTCATTTCTGGTTAATGATGTCAGAATTTACTGGTATATTGGAGTGGATTTTCCAGATGTTTACCGGTATCACTGTGTGAAAGGGGCTGTTATGTAGTGTCATGATGGCAAAGAGAAAATAAATCAGTTTTTAGAGTTATTAAAACTATTATGTTTAGAAATGTGTTGGAAAAATTCAGAAGTTGGGGAACAAAGTGTACAGGAGGGCTAATAATTCTGAAGATAATTCATTGAAGATTCAAATCAGCATCTTTATTGCATGTGTATTTGCTGCTTAATATCCGCTCTGTGATAAGTTTGCTTACAGATCAAGATCCATAAAGAGGCCTGTTCTGCAGAGATGAACTTAATGCTCATTGACGTGCAGTACTCGTGCCCTAATAGTCCGGACCGGCCTCTCCTGTCCCCCGCGGCCTAAAGTAATTGATCCTGCTATGGTTAGCTCCATGCTAATCCATCACTGAACAACTCATTTACAGTAGAGCTGCTGCATTCATCTCTCCCCGTCTTTAACAGATTCACTCTTAAGCCTTTGTTATGGGGAAGATTAAAAAATGGAGGTTTCCCTCAGTGTCGCATTTGGCCACCATGCGGAGGACGTCTCAGTCCCGGCGGAAGAGCGTGGAGGGTCTTTGCGCTAGCACTCTTTTAGGGGTTTTGCACACTAGGACGTGGTTACTAGACGCTCAGTTGGTGTATCTGCTGGAACGCACTCAAGCGGGTCCCGTTCCTCCTCCTCGAACTCAGTCGCTCTGCTCTTTCTCTCGCTCTTCCTCTGCAGATGGTGGAAATGAGGATGGCGGAGACCTGCAGAGCGCCGCTTTGGATCCCTTTCACAGCTACACTGGACCAGGTAAACTTTCATTGCAATGGTGTAATGTTGATATGTAAGGGTTTTGATGCATCTCTAAAGTGCCACGTGCTGTTTTAAAGGAACTCTTCACATTTGTTTGGAAAATAGGCTCATTTTAAAGTCAAGTCAAGTCAAGTTGTGGTCATTCCACTACATGTGTGGACATCAGGCTTGAGTGGTTTCCAAAATTTGATACTGTCAACGTTTCTCACTGTTTTACCTTGGTATATTGTATTACCAAGCATGCTTAAAAAATATGATGTAAGGCTCAAAAAGCGTCACCAAACTGTTGGCTTGCGCCCAATCCATTCAGAAACTGAATACAGTATATGCAACCTCAGGCTATCTTATCATATCTTGTTGCGTCTGTTGCAACGTAATTTCGTTCTGCATTACAATTTTATTGTGATATTTTGAATGACAAAAAGAAAAGGAAACTGAAACTGAAACTGAAGTTGGTGAATTTGACATGCCTGTTCTCGATCTGTGTCTCCTCCAATCCTGCAGGGGGCAGTGTAGACAGTGACTGTGTCTTTGAAGGGGGTTATTCTGTGGCTCCTCTGTCTGCGACGGAGGGTTTTCAGCACATGCGTGCGATGGAGGGAGTTTCTCGATCTCTACCTTCATCACCTTTACTCACACACCAGATTTCCAGCTCGCACCTGCCGTCTGCTAGGAAGATCTTCAGTACGGCTACAGGTACTGAACTCTCTCAGTGACGCAAAATCAAAATACCTGTGGAAGAGTCACACCTGAGCTGACCTGGGGGGTTAATTACTGTAGTCTTGGTGATGGAGGTTGTTTATGTTGATGCTGAGACGGAATGTATTTTGGCTTTTTTTGATCAATTTTAAATTCAGATACTTTTACTCTGTTTTATTTTATTCACTTTATTTCATTTATAATTTTTTATAAATGGACTTTTTTGCATTTCCAGATTTTATTTATTTCATTTTATTCATGTACAAATACAATAATATTTTATTTTAGTTTAATTGACCCTTTTTACATTTCCTAATTTACAGAAGTGCTAATATTCATTTATTGTTAAGCTATAATTTATTTATTTATTTAAACACACTCAAAGCATTATTAATTTATTTTATTTTATTTTATTTTATTTCATTTTACACTCATATATATAGGTTCCCACTTAAAAATCCCTAGTTATCATGACTACAATTTTATTCAAAATTATTTTAATAAAAATTAAAGACATTTATTTAATGAACAATTGCAATAATATTTTATTTTAATTCATTTATCTTAAATTTTCCACATTTTCCATTTCCACTACTTTATTTAGACAAACTCAGGGCTTATTTAATTTAATTTAATTTAATTTAATTTAATTTAATTTAATTTAATTTAATTTAATTTAATTTAATTTAATTTAATTTAATTTAATTTAATTTAATTTAATTTTTAATTTAATTTAAATTCCCAATTTGCAGACGTGCTACTTGCATACCTTTTATTTATTTATTTATTACAGACTCAATGCATCATAGTTTTGTTTTATTTTAAGCCTTTAAAAGAGAAAATAAGTAATAAATATTATGATAGTTGTTATTAATTTGCTTCAAGATTTACCATCACTTTATAAGCTGTTGTATTTTAATCACTTGACTAAATTTCTGTTTAATTAAATGGCAAAATAATACAACTCTATAATATGCAACTATAATATAATGTTATTAAGGTATAACAATATTGCATAACAAAAATTAACTTTTCTACATTTACTTTATTTCCAGTAGTAAAAATGCATTATTACATTTTATGGAAAGACTCCATACATTTTATAATATGTCCAGAAAGTGTCCAATGACGCTTTCTATGTGTCCACTAGGGTGAGCCAGTCTCATATCACTGCAGAAGCTTGACCAGATACATGTACATGTTACAGCAGCACCACACTGACATTTTAATAACTGCCTCTGTGCTGTGTCAGAAATTGTTGGTTTATAAAAGCAGTGACTCTTACATTCCTTTAAGAAGTAGAGACCATCCATGAACATTCATCTGTTGTGAAATCAAGAGCATTGTGGGAGTTTGTCTGAAAAGGACAGCGGTGTTGTTGATGTGAGTCACTCAGCTGTTCTGATGCTGCTCTTTGTGATGTTAATGACTCTCACAGCTCTGATTTAGGGCTCACTTTCATACCGATTGCGTGCTTGCTTTCAGAGTTTGGTCTTAGTATCATTTATGGAAAACAAAATGGCAGCATCATTTGTGTAAAACAAGAGTTATGTCCCAAATTACCCACTATTCACTATGAACTATAGCAGGGGTGCCAAAACTTTTTTCTTATGATGGATGAAGGGCTGTGGGCTGCAGTAATTGTGTGAGTAATGAAGTATTAAGCGTTTCTCTCAAAGAAAAGCCTGTCTAAGCAAAATGCTAGCAGGCGTTTGTAGCTCCATTGATGCTCTGCCTCTTTGCCCTTATTTGGTAACCCCTGGTGGGTGCAATGATGAAGGGCCAGGGCCGGCGCGTCCATAGAGAGGGTGGCGTCCCTTACATGACCCTCACCTCTTGTGCCCTCAGTTATATCCACTTCTAGGGCGGCGTCCGCGACACTACCCTCACCACCCGCGCCCTCAGTTATATCCGCGTCTAGGGCGGCAGAATAGAGAAGGCGGCATCCGCGGCACTACACCACCCACACCCTCAGTTATATCCGCATCTAGGATGGCAGAATAGAGAGGGCGGCGTCTGCTGCACTACACCACACGCACCCTCAGTTATATCCGCGTCTAGGATGGCAGAATAGAGAGGGCGGCGTCTGCGGCACTACACCACCCGCACCCTCAGTTATATCCGCATCTAGGATGGCAGAATAGAGAGGGCGGCGTCTGTGGCACTACCCTCACCACCTGCACCCTCAGTTATATCCGCATCTAGGATGGCAGAATAGAGAGGGCGGCGTCTGTGGCACTACCCTCACCACCCGCACCCTCAGTTATATCCGCATCTAGGATGGCAGAATAGAGAGGGCGGCGTCTGTGGCACTACCCTCACCACCCGGGCCCTCAGTTATATCCGCATCTAGGATGGCAGAATAGAGAGGGCGGCGTCTGCGGCACTACACCACCCGCACCCTCAGTTATATCCGCATCTAGGATGGCAGAATAGAGAGGGCGGCGTCTGCGGCACTACACCACCCGCACCCTCAGTTATATCCGCGTCTAGGATGGCAGAATAGAGAGGGCGGCGTCTGCGGCACTACCCTCACCACCCGGGCCCTCAGTTATATCCGTGTCTAGGGCGGCAGAATAGAGAGGGCGGCATCCGCGGCACTTCACCACCCGCACCCTCAGTTATATCCGCGTCTAGGGCGGTAGAATAGAGAGGGCGGCGTCTGCGGCACTACCCTCACCACCCGGGCCCTCAGTTATATCCGCGTCTAGGGCGGCAGAATAGAGAGGGCAGCATCCGCGGCACTACACCACCCGGGCCCTCAGTTATATCCGCATCTAGGACGGCAGAAAAGATAGCATGAGGGCGGCAAATGTCCTTTGCCTAGAGCGGCAGTTCAGTTGCGCCGCTGGCCGTCACTGGCCCTCTGACAAGCTAAAAGTGGGGGAAAGGGGAGTGGTTGTGGGTATAGATCGCAGATGAAAATGCGGGGGCGGCGGTGGGTGTGTTACATCGCGGATAAAAATGCAGGGGGTGGGGAGGGGGGAAATCGCTGATGAAAGTGAAGAACGAAGGGGGGGTGATAGGGGTGTTGGGAGATCGCGGATGAAAGTGAAGAGCGGGGGGGTGGATTGGCGCGGGCCCTTGATAATGTTTCTGGGGCCCCCCTAATTGGATGGGCCCTTAGAATCATCCCACTCCCCCTCTCCCCCCTAGCGGCGGCCATGGGCAATGCCTACTTGTAGCCTCATTTGCGCTGTTCAGAAATCTATGGGTGTCGTCACGGATACTACATCCATATATTTTACAGTCTATGGTTTAAGTGAAGTTTATTTATAAACTAATCTCGATAGGATCACATGCTTATGATTTATCACGGCCAATCTCGTATTAGCTAATCACTATCTTCCAATAATACGAGCCTCAAGCTACTAAAACCACAGTTTTCAGTCCATTTTATTTTGGTTTGGAAAAAAAAACCTTCCTCCCCTATTCCTTCCTTTACCTCTGATTGGGCGGCACGGCGGCCCAGTGGTTAGCACTGTGAGCCCCACAGCAACAACACTGCTGCCCCTGGTCCCGCCGTGCCGGTGGGCGTTTCTGTGAGGAGTTTGTATGTTCTCCGCGTGTCCGCGTGATTTTTCACCGGGTTCTCCGGTTTCCTCCCACCATCAAAAGACATACAACATGCATAACAATAGCTTTGTCTAATCCCTTTTCCCATGTTCCCTTAGCTACCGCAGCCGGGGAGATCTGAGATCCACCGAGCTCAGGCTCCCCTCTCGCTCTGCCAACGGGAGGAAGCCCCGGGCTCGAGCATCCCTTGAGCTAGGGGCTCTCTCCTGGGACAGCACGCCAAACAAGCTTTTGATAGATCATCAGCTAAGTGTGAACTCTTGAAACCCCTTATAAAAGTGATTTTTTTCACAATAGGACCCCTTTAGGACTTTGGGAACCCCTAAAAGAATTAAAATGCTCTCACCCCAAGCTGCAACATATATATAATCCTTACAGTCTACAAGATGAATGGTTGGAGACTCATCTAAACCTTGTTTAGGAGCAGAAGAAAAGTGTTTTTCCAATTTGGAGGTCTCCTATATTTGCTCCCAGCATTAATTGCAGTGTGTTTTCCAGCGGCTGAATTGTAATTCTCCAGCGTAAGCAGCGTGCAGAGCTTCTCATCTCCGCTAATGAAAGTCAGGCCTCTTTATGAGCGCCGTTTTATCCCGTTTTTCATGTTTTTACTGCATATTCATGAGAACCTAATCAGGTGTTGCTTTTGCATTTAAGAAATGTCCTTTTATTATGGAGGCAAACAAACCGTGGACTGAGAGTTAAACAGTTGGCTGCGGTTATATGTTCAAGGATCAGTGAAAGAGAACCACGTCCTTTGTGATGTGAAATTATACAGTGAAAGATCTCGGATTATAAAGGATGGATCTGAATGTGTTCCACTTAGTTTGGTTTAGAAGTCATTTAAAGCAGTGTTTCTCAACATTTTCAGCGGGTTGCGGAGTGTGTGGTCAAAAAAAACAACAAAAGTTTAATTTTTAACTTATTTTGACTTTTATTTTGAAATGCGTGCACAATAACCCGACCATTTGACATGTGAAATTTCATTTAATTATAGCAACAAATATGTCAAAGCGCAAGTACTGTACGACCCTGAATATGTAAAGTATGGATTTACATATATTGACGACAAAAAAAGACTTTAAGAGCACCTATGGTGAAAAATCTACTTTTCAAGCTGTTTGGACAGACGTGTGTAAGTATAGTGTATAGACCGTCATATTGGGGTAAAATAAACACACACAGTCCTTTTTTTTTTTTTTCAAATTTAACAACGTAAAAATGGTGGACTAATTTAAGCGGTTTTCAGATCGACCGCAACTTTACCTAGAAGTGCGGCCCCCCCCGCCCACCAATATTGATTGACAGCTGCGCGCATTAACATGTCTCCGTAGTAATGCATATACTCATATCGACAAGACAGGACGAGCGCAAAGCAACCGGGAATAAAAGGTCTGTACAGTTTGCTATAGGATCATCAATCA